TACTTTTTAATAGCTCATTTTAGTCCTCTGATATTGCTTCAATTTTAATTATATCTTTTATTATTGTGAATTGAAGAATCTGTGAGTGATCATGGGATTTTGTCACATTTACAAAAGCTGATAGCATCTAGGGCAACTACATTTTGAACACTCATGAATCTACCCCTGAACGTAAGCATCTTGAAGATTGAATTTTAAATCACATTACCCCACAAGAGCGTTAGCCCAGAACGATTCTTAGTCTCTAAAGTGCATTTTGCGTTGAATCACTAAAAGCTTTGAGTTGCTTTTCAGAATGTTGCCACCAAATATTATCAATCTGTACTTTAAGAAATTAAACAAGGAAGAATCTGCGTGAATGTATGTATGTTTCTCAAAACAAAAAACAACCGTACCTAGAACCACCAAATTTTTAACGTAATCTTCCACCGAATATGGGCATCTGGAAGCCTTAATTTGAAATTTGGAATTTGTTTTATTATCGATTTCATATTTTGTCACACTTTAACGAATTTTGGATAAAAAAAACTCAACGATTTCAAAGCGAGCAATAGCAACGTTGTACGAAAAAAAAAAATTATCTCCAACGCGCGAGACTGTGTATCGGAAATTCTAAAGATATGCTCATTTAAAAATTACTCTGCGATATTGCGCTTGAACTGAATTTTCTAGTTTAAGTGCGAAGAACGTGATATTTAAAAGTAACACACAAAAAATTTTAAGAAGTCCCTTTGGGCGTAATGTAAAATCTGAGAGCTTTCAGATTTTTTTTATTACTTTATTTTACTTTTTGTTTAATTTCAAGCTTAAAATGGTTTGTGAAATCAATGCAGCATCAATTTCCGCACTCACGGGGCGGTTACAATGCATGCATCTTTTATGATCTGAAGCACGAGAGATTAAAATTTGGAAACTGCGCAGCATACAAGTCTGACGTATCCCTCCCTCCCCCAAAAAGCTCATTTTAACAGACGTTTTGTGTAGTAAATTAGAAGCTTTTCTTATAAAATACTATATTATTTGTGATAAATTATTGGCATGGTTTTAGACACATTATTCTATTTTTCACTGCAAAAAACCATATTACTTTTCCATAATTATTGTTACGAATTTTGTATTTAGTTAGTTACTTTTATTAGAAATATAATTAAAATTGTTTCATTTCCCCGTGCAATACAGCGGGTGATGAATTTTAAGAGAAAGCTACTCCAAAAAATAAAAATATAAGAGCACGTGCATTTAACATTGAATGAATGGATATCTCTTTTATTTGTATTGAAATTGAATTAATGTAATTGACTAATTTGTTAGCTGTAACCGTAATTCTATCTTCTTGTTGGCTTTCAGGAATCTCGAGAAGCAAAGAAATTCCTAGAACTCTCTCGCGATCGACTGAAAGCTTTAAAAAGCCGGAAAGAGACATCTCAGCTCAGTTGCTTCAGTTACGAATTTTGAAATAATTTTTTAAATCATTTAATTATATATGCGCTTTTATACAATGGAAAATGAGCAAAAAAGGGTATAAATAGAAAGATTCCCTTTTTACGAAGCTAAAAATAAACTGCATCAGTAAGATAATAATTTTTTTTAATCTAACCGTCTGTGTTACAAAAGTATTTCAAAAGTGAGCACTGAACCAGAATTCCGTTCTGGTTATCTCATTTCATATTCGCCATATTTCATATTTCATATTCGTTTAAAAATTATTGCAAGATTCGTAACTGAAGCAACTGAGCTGAGATGTCTCCCTCCGGCTTTATGAAATATTAATATTTTCATTTTTCATTCAATACATTTGCCAACATTAAAAACAGCTATTTTAGATAAAATTTATATTCTGCGTTGTTAAATCATAAGTAGATTACCTTTAAAACCAAATACCATGTAACTAAAACACAATTTTAGAAGAAATTTGATGGCAGCAAAGCTACATAGAGGTACTTTTGTTATATCCTTTGTCTTGCTCATTACGTAACTTACATTGTTATAAGAAACCTTCATTGCAATTCTAACTTTATTTCGCTACAAAGAATTCATTGTTAGGAAGCAAATTATTATACTACAGTCGTGACACAGGATACTTACATATTATATTAAAAAAATCTTTTATAAACTATGCTAAGAGTGAAAAATATTAACGAAAGTTATCAGTTATGTGAACGAGATTTTTAAGTTTGAAGACTGGTTGGTTTCTAAGAATATTTATAGAAATTTAACGAGCGTTCTTTGGGTAGTTTGCATAGAAATTATGTTACTTTTTACCCTCTTGCAGTTTATTTGTAACCTTACATATATTCATGACTGTCATGGAAAAAAAATTTTTTTTTTTTTTGAGAATATGTTCATGGATGGCTTACAAAGACATTTTTGTTCAGAGAATTTCAGTTAGAAACGAGGAAAAGAGTTGAAAAAATATCAGAGTGGCAGAAGATTGCCTGTAGGTCAAATACTGCTATAAATTTTCCGTAAATATGTAGGTTTGATTGATTGCAGTGCTGTTTCCGTGTACTATTATACCATTTTACGCAGCTTTTAGTAATTATTTTTGTTTATTAAATACTATGCAACCTTATAGAAAGACAAGTATGTAATGATCCTAGCTAGTGTAATTTCATATAAATATTTAATGTTTTGAATTAGCTATATAATAATTTAAATTCATTTTTATTTAAATCAATCGGATTAAAAAGTAAAACCATACTATCAAAAACTGCCTTTATTGCTTAGTTTGTTAATCAGTAACAGACTGATTAAATTTAAAAGTCACATATCTCATATCTCGCTGAATGGTAACACATTTGCGCGCAGAAGACAAAAATGTTTTAGTTTGAATAGTGAAATCACTTAGCTGTTTAATCGCTACGTTTGTTAATCAAAAGTTTTTAAATTCGCCCAAAGTACGAAGCAAAAATCAAATTTGAAATTCAAAATTCGGATTTTAATGTTTATATGTTTTGGAGGAGAACTATTTTTGAGTTGAAATTATGTTAAAAATTTTATTGCTCTGAGTGCCGTCGTTTTCCAGTTTGCGCGAAATGCATACATAGATACATAATGCATGCATACATACAAATATGCGTATATGCATAAATCTAAATTATTTATTATTTAATAGCATATCTGAATTTTAAAACAAATATATGAAATATATTATGTTTTGACGAATGACAACCTGCGTGTAGTAGGGAGATGAAAACATTTTAACTTTTTATTTGGGGTAAAGCCAATGCATTTCTTTTAAATAGCTATTTTTGTTGATTAAATTGACTGACAAATTTCTTATGTTTTATTCAGAGTCGGACACATTTCTTTTAAATCATTAAGTTTTAGGATTAAAATTAAAACTCTCGTACGTACATCCAGATTCTTCATATATGCATATATGCATGCATAGTTCTTTTCAGTTTACTATAAATATAAATTAGTTATACAAGAAAAATACTATGTAAATGTATAATAAAATTAAATGAAAGTAAGATTTATATCTTATTTTCATTGTTATACATACAGATTTTTCATTATTACTAATACATATAAATTTTTCATTATTACAGGTTTATTGAATTTTAGGTAATAATTTCAGGCTATATGTCTGAGTAATTCAGCTACCCCCTTACAAGATTTCAATTTTATACATAAATATAGAGCTTGTGATTCTGAAACCAAAAATATTTAAAGTGGGAACATTGTTTAAATAGAACTCAAGATATAGGCAGAAACATTTTTGATGGGCCTTGTAGACGATTTTTATAACCACTTTTCTATATGAAAGATTTTTCAGCAACTTAGCCACCTTCTTGAATTTGGGAAAAACTCATTTTTTAAGCTTAAGGTTTAATTTTTCATGAAGGTTCCGTAAGGGATGGTAACATCATTTAAATACGTCTCTGACAGACATTGCCTAATCTGTATGATCTCTTTCAGTTATTTATAGTTTTTGTTTGCAAAACATTATCAGTATTTTCCTGGTCATCTTAAATGATTATCTGAAGAGATGTCTTCAAGCTCAGCGCTCGAATCAGTGTGTACACTTCATTCCTGTCTTCCATACTACGTTCAAGAAACCTATGTTTAATTTTTACCTGAAACGAATCATTGCAAACTACCTAAGACGCACCATGTCAAAGAAGTAGAGGAAAACTTCAAAAACATTGGATAGTACCACAAATTTCTAACCGGATGTAGAATTTACCATAGTTCAGTTATCTGCTATATTATTGCAGATAATTGAACTATAGTAACTTCTACATCCGGTTTGCTATCTTCATCGAAATATTTAGTTTAGATATGTATGCTGTAAGTACAATGTAATTCCAAGGGCGCAGCGACAAAATGTACAAAAGTCACAACAACATTATGCCAAAATTTAAAACGACTGCAGATATAACAGAAACATCATCCTCTTGTTTGGAAATATAATTGACATAACATGCTTCAGTTTATGGCAATAAAAGAAACGCTTTATGTCTTGAACAAACTTAATGCCTTAGACACTCGGTAAACAAAGAATAGCAGTATTACATATAAAAAAATGGAATTGTTTTACACTAATATTTGCAGTTAATTTCTTTTGTATAAGTGTTTTTTAAATTTAATGTTTTTTAAATGTGACGATTATTGTCGAGTGTTTACGATATCTCCTCCTTATCTATCTTAAAGTAATTTAATAATTTCATTAAATATGTCCATTAAGCTGTCTTATTTAAATCAAAGAAAAAATAAGAATACGTTTGTAAATTAAAGCAACTTTAAGGTTACTCAAATTAAAATCAAGAGATACGTATAACTGGAGTTCTGGATAAATATAATCCAATTAATTGGAATTTCATGATTCGCACAATACAAGCATTGCAATTTGCAATATTTTGTAATGGAATATCGCACAATATAAGCATTGCAATATGCAATATTTTACAGTCGTTACACATAATAGTATATGACATCAACCAATATGATAAGAGATATTATATGGCACAAATTTTATTAAATCATCTACTTACAGCCGCCTCTCCCATTTTTATGCATTCTTCAGAGTCTTGCTCTGCACAGGCAGTCTACAGATGAAACAATTCAGTTAGAATACAAGCAAAATATTAAATTTATGAAAACTAAAGTGTGGTGTGTGGTGTATTTTATTATGGCAAAGCACACTAGGGCTATCTGCCTAAGGGGAGGGATGCCTTGTGGAGGACTTTCTAAGGAAACTGGCTCGTATACACGTTACACATGGGGAAAACCACGAAAACACCCTTGCAGCCAGCCCGTTCGCGGGATTCGAACCTCGGACCAAACTACCAGTGTTCAGCGACTTTACCGCTCGGCCGCTGGTGGGCCCTATGAAAACTAAAGTAATTTAGTATTACGAAAAAGTCAATATAAAATTTTAGAGCTTAAGATTAGAGAAACTGCTGTGAAATTACTTTCGTTTTCAATTTACTATAAATGTAAATTAGTTATGCAAGAAAAATGCTATGTAAATGTATAAATGAGATTTAGAAATGTATTTTCGTTTTTAATTTACTATAAATGTAAATTAGTTATGCAAGAAAAACGCTATGTAAATGTATAAGTGAAAGTGAGATTTAAAAATGTATTTTCATCAAATTAGTAACGGAATAAAAAGTAAAGGAAATTAAAAGACATAACATGTGGTACCAAACGAAAACCATGAAGTAACAACATGGCGTATATTAATAAATAGGAGATTGATAGTATTTATCTAAAGAAAAATTCACATCATTTACCAGCTTACTTAATCTTAAAATAACATTTATGGTTAAAGAAAACAGAAGTTCATGCAGTGCTTCGAATGATACTCTGACAAGCAGTTTGGTAAAGCGCAGTATCACTATACATAAATTTACCTTTTTTAATTTAAAAACCAACGCAATACGATCAACCAACGCAAAGCAAACGATTATCAGTTTTTAGACTTGATTAACAATAACATTCAAAGGTATAATACAAAACATCCAATAAAAGCAATTTTTTTTGGCATTCATTGAAAAAGGCCTTCAAGAACTGTTGCCATGAAAGATTAATGCATAAAGAAATTAAATTCATCTAAACATATTCTATCATTATATTAGTTGCGTATTATTTTTCTGATATACACTTTAATTTTAAAATTGGAAATTATTTTTCTTTATTTATTCATTGAATTTTTATACAGCTGAAAATGTTCATGACCCAAAAATCCAGTTAGTCTTTTTTGATGGTGATACATATAAAGCTTCAATTATAAATACTGTTCGAGATTAATTGTGAAATTGGCTGATCTCTTATTCGCCATGCAGACTGACTCAAAGTGACTGGGAGAGACTGAGAGTGAGAGTAATCAAGTGCAAGGATACAACTAAAAATAAACCAGAATATGCAATATTGTTTTAGAAAGAAAATGAATGGCAAAGGAATGAAATATATCTTGGCATTATCTTAGACAATAAGCTTACTCTCTGGCCATATTTCGGAAAAATTTTTTAAAAATTTAAATTCACCATTGTTAGGTATGTAAATGAAACTGTCATTAAAAAACAAGAGAATCTTCATACATTTTTCAGACTGTGTTATACTCGCAGGATCAATATTTAGATATGACGGAAGGACCAAAATTTTGTATATCTAGATAACTCAAAATTAAAATGATAATGTATGCTTCTTAGCACATTAAAAATAATATAATTTACAAAGATTTGAAAGTCTGCACCATCACAGAATTTATCAAAAATACAACTACTAAGCTGTGCAAAAATTTTGAAAAGCACGAAAAAACAGATGTCAGAATAAAAATATCTAACCTTCCATATCCTGCTCAATAATTTATTGTTATTTAAAACCCTGCTATTAATATTCCAAAAATATTCCTTAAGCACTTCATTCAAAATTCCAAAAACTCTATTTTTGTTCTTACCTTACTGATCTCCCTCTACAGATGCCAACACTCGAAGGTTACCAGCTTTCATTCACAAAAACATACATGCCTAGTCGCCACGAAATATAAAAATTTTAAATATTGCTGCATTAAATGAAAAAAGTGATGTTCTCCATTGTTCTCAAAAATTATATAATGAGAGATGTTCAAAATTCTGTGCACGTTATAAAATATTTTCTTTGGATTTTACGAATACTTAAATATTTTTATCCCGTAAAAAATAGTTTTTAAGAATTACTAACATATAATCGTTGTCCTTATATATTACTACACATACTAATTATTTTCTGTAAAACACAATTCCAAATAATTGTGATACTTTGCTTTTAAAGCATAACAAGTATTTTCTATTTAGAATATTTGCTGCAAAGGCATCATATAATTTTTTCATGGGAGCTCTATTCGCCTAAATATTGTCAAAAAAAATCTCTCCAAAGAGTAAACGTTTTATTTAAATTAAGAAGCACTGATGCTGCAACTGTAAGTCTGGAATCAAACATTAAGCAAATAAGCTTTTGCAGCATTTATTCTGAACCCTTGTTGTATGACACTAAAATGAAGTTTGCAACTCTGTAGACTTAAAATTTACGGTTATCCTTAACATCAGCCTCTTATCCATCAGTGGTACGTATAATTCAGTAAGAAGTCTTACTGCTGCATAAATATTTAAATATTTTATAGAAATCATTAAGTTAATTTTTATATTACTGCATTTAAAAAAAAGAAATGTTATTCTAGCAAACGAAACGCTGAGCAGTTGTATTTGTTTATAAGGACCTGACTTCCACATGGCAGTCGAGGCACGTACGCAGGCCCTTCCCTTTTAAAAAAATTTCGATTCTTTTTATAGTATTTAAAATATGTAAAATATTATATTTGGTTAAACTCTATAATTTAATTCAGGTTTGTAATAATATCCATAAGAATTTTTCAGATACGTTTTTTCCTGTTTCTTTCAGAAAACAAAAAGTAATCCTGGTTTAAAGATGTAAGTTCATATTTTATGCTCTAAAAACTGAAACAAAATCATAAAAACAAAATGAAAAAGTCAAATGTCATTTTCTTTCAAATAATATTGAATGAAAAATATTAGATTATAAGGTTATTTCACAAAATGTACTCTTTTATGAGATACAGAGGCTCTTCGCACACATTTTAGACAATTTTGCTTCGCTATAAATAATTGCCACCTTGGGAAAAACTTTTTTAACTGCAACTTTATTTTCAAAGTGTAAATTATTGTTTGTTACTGATAATTTTGTTTTCATACAAAATGGTGCTTTTAAAGAAACAATGGAAGGAAGGCTTTATATTGCTTTTCCGAAGAAAATTATTCGTATTTAATTATTAAAAATTGCTGTCAAAGCCATGATATTTCGGTATCCAAAGCAACGATAGATAATATTGCAATAAGAAGAAAAGTCAAAGTTTGGCTTCAAGGAGAAACATTGTTTAAAATACATATCCAGAGATGAAATGAAGTGTTTCGAATGTTGCAAAGGTAAGAAATTTAATGTTAAAAGAAAATCTGCGACGTCATACGATAGTTGAATAATTATTAAAATGCTCAATACCAAATATAAAGTGATTAATGCTGACTTGACTTTTAAAAAGGCGAAAAAGGTAATGCGCACCGTCTTTCTCCAGGACATAACGCCGAAAGCAGAACGCGCTGCAGAATTCTTTATGAGAAAAATATTATTCGGAGAAAAATAAAAAAATATGGTCACATTAGATGAATCTTGGATATATTTAAACGACCGCAACAAAAAGGGATACATTTATCGTCATCACAGAGAAGAAAAGTTCTTAGAATGTGGTTCAAATTCTTAGAATGTGGAATTCTGAAGAATTCTTAGAAGATCTTCAAAGAATCCAATAAAAGTTTTCAAAAGGATTTATGACTGTTGGTGGTTTTTGATAAAATGACAAATAAAAATTAGACTGAGAGCAGGAAACTGTTCAGGTCCTTCTATTTACCCACAGTGTCATCAAAGCAAAGCTGCACTTCAGAATCCACTATTTATTTATTGTATTTCTTGGAAAAAATGGAACAAGAAACTTATATCAAGCCATACCCTTCACTCATATTCCTACTAAATTTCCTGATGTATCATCCACGGATTTTCGCGCTTTTGGGCTTTTAAAAAAGCAAATTATTCAAACGTCGACCTGCAACTCTCTTTGGACTTTGAAAAGCTATTCAAGAGGAATAGGATAAAATACCTCTTTTAATACTAAAGAAAAGCTTTATTGTCTTGGAAATTACGTGTAAAAAGATAGTGAAGAATAAGGGTTATCAAATGTTACATTTAGAACACAAAACAATTAGGTAAAATATTTCTATAACTACAATGAAAATCGTCTAAAAAATATGCAAACAGCCTCTGTAAAATTTGTAGTAGTGACAATCCCCCCCCCCTGTTCGAATCTTTCCTACTACTCAGAATAGATTAGAACGGGGAGAAAGATGCGTCTGTACTGCGGATATCAAATTTCTGAAATCGGGCCCATGAAACTACATTAAAAATATTACTTAACACATAACACTGAATGAAACCTGAACATACTGAAAGGAAAATATCACTTTAATCTGAAAGACGAAACTCCTTGATTATAAAGTAACGCCTAATGATGCACCAATCAGAAACGACGGTGACTACTGCAGGTACTGACTATGTAAGTCACTATAGTGTCTTGTGACTGGTGAAACTGTTTGTATTTGAAATTTTAACTTGCAAGTAACTCATAACAATAGTAATTCAATTAATCATATTTATTATATCGCTACATTGAAATAATTTTACTCAGGTTAATCTTTGACAAATGTTAATAAATTATTATTGAGCATTAATAGCAGAATTAGTTAAATTTTTAATAATCATCAGAAACTAATTGCATAACAGGAGTAAATTAAAAAGGATTTTACTTACAGCCCAGTATTCACCAAGTCTTTTTAGCCATTCGAAGAAATATTGTCTCTGTTAGAAAAGGAAAACATTAATTCACAGATGCAATGTTTCAAATAAAACAAATAAAATTTAATGACACAAGGTTACTGAAATAGTATGAACCAATTCTAGTGCCTTTTTCGACATTTTAAGACAACGGTGAATGATGAGTTTTGGACGAAAACGTGAAGAATTAGAGAGGCTTTTCTGTGGAACCCGGCGGTAAGCCCACAAGTCAAGTTATCCAATACTAAACCTACTTGAAAACGTGTAGGACGGGAAATAAAACTTCATTATTAGAGAAACACTTTTCATCTCCTTAGAGGTTTGGAATTTGTATCATTAATAAAATGTGTTTGTTGCTGTATAAAATCTATTCGTTAGTCTTGAATAATCATGTCAAATATTTCATAACAATTAAGATAAATGTATGTACGTTGCATGTGTGATCATTGTATTCAATATACAAAATACTGATCAAGTCTGAAATTGTCTTGAACCTATACATTTTAATAATACTGGTATTTCTTAAATGTACTGGCAAAAAGCAGTCAAAGCAATTTTCTCAAGTCTGTGATAGTTCTGTTTTTGACTGTCTTTATTTTGTGATACTTTTTAATGTTATTAATTCCTTTGTCTCTGAGATACACTCCATAGCATATTGTAATGAGAGTGATTTTGTTACATGTGCATGCATTCTCCAGTCCTGAAAGCGAATGATTCGTATTGAACAATGTGTTTTAACTTGCGAATATTCAATTACTCTGCTTATCGTTAAAATTATTTTGAATACAACTGACTTCCGACTACCCGAGATAATACTGGCAAAAAGCAGTCAAAGCAATTTTCTCAATAAGGCGACATCCACGGTTAATTCGCAATTACAGTTAATCGAAGAGCAATTAGAAAATAAAAGAAAGAAGAATAATCCTGTTATAATAAATATAAAATACTATTAATAAATTTCCTGTATTCTCAAGCAGTTTAGTTGGAGAAATTCAGTTCTTTACATTAATCAAATTCGTATTCAAGACAAAGAGGTCGCATTGTAAATAAAGGAATAATAAACACTATTGGAAATATATAAACTACGTTATAAATGACTAAGACATGCTAAGACTGCTATCCCTTTCGCTATCCAACGCATTGTCCGTTTCTTTTCTGCTATGTTTTGCAAACAATTTTGTTTAATGCTGTGGTTTGTGACGGTAATTTTTCCACCTCTTCGCAATAAATTTAACATTTTTAGATAAGCCAAAGTGAACTCGCAGTCTGGCTAATCCCTTATCCAGTTAAACTGACGTTAAGAATATTTATTTTAATTTCTTTTCTTTGCAACCGAAACAAAATCTTCTTTTCTTCACGTAGGGATTATCTGGAAAAAGTTCTTTTTTTCATAGAGTTTCTTCATTTCTTTTATTTTGAACTCTAGGATAAAAAACGGTATTTATATTGTCTTCATATTGAATTCCATTTACACAGATCACTGGTAATATAATATATCGCAAAATTAAATAAGGGAGATGTAATATTTTATTTAAGATTAAAAACATTAAAATTTTTAGGCATACCTGCTTGGAAAGTTCAGCCAGCTTTATAATATTATGTACTAAAAGTACCACCATGACCTACCAATTGGTTGAATGCAGTAACAGTTTAATTTATGTAATACGCGACTTACGTAATTCGCAGTTACTAAGTGTACAAAAGCCGTAATATTCAATTTCAAACCTATTGAAAAAAACGATTATTTAAATAATTCCCCCTTTATTCTACCCGTAATCCTTGCATTCAGATCACGTTCAAATGGGATTCAAATGAGAATCCTCGTTAATTTAGTAATTTGTAGCTTAACTTTAAAAAAGATTTGAAACTCAAATCCAAAATCGCTGGTAATAATCCTAAAACACAAAGGTCTGCAAATTACTTGGACAAAATATTAAAGATAATTCACGTGTTTGAAGATGGGAAAATTATACTAACAATAGCTTGACGCATAAAAGGATCAATTTTGTCTGAGAATACGCTAATAGATGATAAACTTCATATTGATGAAAGCATAAAATGAACAGTAATATTTAAAGGTATAAATTTTACCAAAAAAGGGCTCTCAAGACTTCAAAGTTAGAGATATTATTTTCTCACGGAAACCAGAATCTGACGCAGAAAAAGATACCATCGAGTTTTCTATTTATCCAGGAGAGCTCTAGGTCTTTATATAAAGACTTATAGCTGAAGGCCAACATCGCGGACCCTAAGAATGAACGAGGAGGAACTACTTTAATAATTTAAAACTAATGTTGGAGGTTTCGAATATTCAAAACGCGCATAAATCTATGCAGTTTCAAAGTCATAGGTGAGACAACTAATGCAGATACAGATGCGGCAAATAAATTTCCTAAATTTGTTTTTTGTTTAACATAGAAAAGAAAGAAAGAAACGTTTATGCCTGATTCATGTTTGTAAAAGACGGCATACTGTTATAATGGGCGGTAACACATCAAGATACTTGGAACTTAATCTGGTTACACAGTGCCATTCTGAAAGGTCGTAGGCATCTGGCATTGCCTCGAGTAAGCTGCATGCTGAAAATCTAAGGCTTGAGCTACACGGTTTTTGCTGACTGGTTTAATAACTACATCATTATCCAGGTGAAGGAATATTATGCTAAGAAAGGAATCTCATGTAAAGTGCTTTTCAACATGAATAATGAACTCGGCCCCACTGGGCGATCTGTGTAAATGGAATTCAATATAAAGACAATATAAATACCGTTTTTTATCCTAGAGTTCAAAATAAAAGAAATCAAGAAACTCTATGAAAAAAAGAAACTTTTCCAGATATCCTAACATGACGAAAAGAAGATTTTTTTTTTTAGGTTGCAAAGAAAGAGTTTAAAATAAATATTGTTAACCTCAGTTTAACTGGATACGGGATTAACCAGACTGCGAGTTCAGTTTGGCCTATCTGAAATGACTTTCAATCTGCTGACTTGACTCCCCGAATCACTTCTCTATTAAAACTGTCCAAAGATGCCACTGAAACTTTCAAACGTACTATCTGCATTTTTCATTTTCGAAGCAATCAAGGTCTCTGTTTATGGCGTATTGGATATGATTACTCTATATCACTCTAAAAGACTAAATATATTCCTAAAAGACTGAAAGACTAATTTTCTAAAAGACTTATTATGTTCTTGACTCTATCAAAAACTCTTTTGTGGCATGGGTGAATACAAGCAGCAAAAATAAATGTGTAGAAGAGACTCTGAGCAGACTCATTTTTAATTTTGATGCTCGCTAAATATAACTTGTAGGATTTTATGTTAATTAATTAGTCATTATAATCTGGAAATGTACTATAAATTTTTCTCTCTACCGTCCTCACCAGAATGCAAATTAATTCTTGAGTTTTTAAGACGAGTTAAAAGTTTTACAGTAAAACCTTCTGGCCGCATCTCTTGCAAATTACGTATTATCGCCAGCTGTGCTAGAGTTTAATGCTAACTAACGTTAAAAACGCGCTTTTAATTACTTGAGCTGGCTTAAGTAGACTATTTTGCTTGCAGTTTCAGACTACGTTACTTGAATTTAAACTTACAGTTTTTTTTTATTTTAAATACTCGCAAGTGGAGGCGTTTTGCGTGCAGCATCAGTAGATCTTCTGTTAATTCTAAGAGTTGAATAATAAAAAAAGCCCATTTTAAACTTCATAAGGCTTTGTCACTTAAATTCAGACTGAAGTGATAACTTGCTTGTACGAATAGTAGGGTCTGAAGGGTATTAAATTAAACTTGAGTAATATCTATTAGATTTATACTTAGGAAATGAAATTCATCATAAAGTATAGTTTATACTTCATAAGAGCATTTTTATCTGTTTTTTATAGCCTTTCCATTCAAAAATAAAAAAAAATTACATTCATTTTTAATAATATTTATTGTTAATGAATTTAGGATACCTTCACTTCGTCAGAAAAGTGGCATTTGAACTCTGGATAATGGTCCCAGAAATATTTAGTATCAGCAGCATCAATATCTGAAATTTCTTTCAGCCATCGGAAACCTTCTGCTTTCATCTATAAGCAAAAATTAAAAAACAAACGTATAAAAATTAAAAAAACACTCATCTGTTTACTACATTTCACCATAATTTCATATATATATATATATTATGCGACTGTAAGGAATATGAAAGGATATGCAGTGCCATGTAATAATTTCATTAATCATTAGTTATATTAATTAAATTCAGATAGTGGTGTGTCAAAACTACAACAAAAGCACTGCGCTTTTGTTATTTAAAAGGTAGCTGTAAAACTTGCTTGTTATGCTATCGGAGTGAGTTGAAAGTTCTTCAATACTTGCAAAATGTATGTTCAGAAGCACGTGTTAATATCATTCACGTATTAATATCAATCAGTCTACATAAAGCATATGGTGTTAAAGGTTATCTCTTGTTCCGCTTGTGATATAGATACCTAAAAGCTCAAAATGGCTAAGTAAAAAACTTTATCTATACGAATTTTATATGAATAATGACGCTGAGGAAGCTATATAAAAGAAGCATTTGTTACTCGAAAGAAGATTTTTTGAGCTATAGGACTGAAAATACATGGGTCAAAAAATTTCGCTTATGTGTTAGGAATCTCAATGATTAGCCAAGGTCTGCTTAAGCTGCAAAATCGTACCTTCTGAGTTCGTAAACCACGCGATAGACGCAGAGTCCAAAACAAAATTAAAAGACTATCAGGTGAGTTGGACATGTCCGCACAGAGCACTTTCCTCTTCGCCAACAGTAGGATAGCGAGTCCATTGTGGCATTAGCATGTCGGTCAAAAACCCCATTGTTATGTAGGATTCTCCACTGTGTATTTCTAAGTTACAGATGAATGTGACGAATCTTAAGAACTAATAAGCGAATAATCGCTTGAGTTCGTGAGGAAGAAAACAACAAGTGAGAAGGGTAAAATAACCTTTTTCTTATTCCAATTAAAGTTTAACAAAACTCCGTCTTGGAGTTGTACAATAAAGTCGACTTAAGGAACTAAGAAACAAACTAAACTAATCTTAGCTAAAAAGATATAGCCGAAGCTATCAAAATTCTAACGGAGTTGTCCTCTTAACGCTAATTGGCTGCGAAGCTATCAAGGGCCTAAAGTACGACCGAGTGCAATAATATCTTACGAGAGAGTAGCCTAAAAAGACGGACGCGTGCAGCCAGAATATCTGTTATCTCTCTAAGACAGTAGAATTTCGTGGTTAAATACCGTTCTTCCTCATTAGCATTCAGATGTGATTCTAAAACTGCGTTCTGGCCGGACGAGGTAAGTTGAAATTAAGAAGTGATAGGAAAAGAAGTTTAATTCAAAATTTAACTGTTAATAAAATTAACATAATCCTTACAGTTATAATTGTCTATAACGCAATGCCTAGAATACACGTACCCGGAATAAAGTCTTTTACGAGCGCAGATATATTCCAAATCTCAAAAGTCGAAAAGGTGTTGAATCGCTGAAAATTTTAGGTTTGAACTTTTAAACTTTAACTTAAACTATCTAAGTGCCGGACACACTAACAAAAAAATAATAATAATCAACAATAGTGAAATTATTATCAAAGGCACATAAATGTCTTTTTATCATTAAACCCGAGCACATAATCAAATCGTTAACCGTAAATGTGGTTAGTACAATAACTTTTTAAGGTTGCGTTGTGAGTAACCCGTGTAAAAAAAGGAAAATCAATAACACCAAATTCAATAAAGGCTTCATGTTTCTTACAAGCCTCCCGGTTCAAACAAATTGAGTGACATGATAGACCACCATAAATGACACAAAATAAATAAACAAATGCCATTAAAAGTTTTAAACAAACACATTTATTAAATTTCTAGATTATCAAAAAACCTTTTTCTGGGTAAGAGATCAGCTACTTTACATACACAGTAAGTTACATTCATCATTATTACTTCAAGTTATTACTATAGAACAGACAGTTCAACAGTGCAATCGATTTAACAATTCAAACGATTATTAGGATTATTCTATATATAACTCAGTTATTTAAAAAATAGATCTCAGGTACAAAATAGAAATTACAATTATAGAAATTACATATTTTAGTCTCAGTAATTTCAAATTTTACTTACTTTTGGTGAGACGGCCGGAAAACTGACTATATAGCGGCAAGAAGGCTGACTGTAAAGCGGTCGGAAAGAAGACCATAAAGATTTTGAATGTGAAATTCTTAAAATATTGGATGTAGAGTTTGCATTTCCATTTATCGTATTAGTTGGAGCTCCAGAAGGAACATTTAGTCATTTGCGATGCTTCTAGAGGATTCATTTCGCTAACTTTGAAATAAAAAAATTCTGTTTCTCTAGCTCCATTCCAGATAAAGAGCTTTGCCAACAATGTCCGAAAGGTATAGGGACAGATGGTAGGGGGGGTACAACTATACTGGTCAAATTGGTTTTATTGAAGGTTACTTATTTGCTGATTTTATTGGAATTATTTATTACATACTTGAACAATAAATAAGCCACGGTCCTCTATATGTTAAATGAAGGAATTCGTGGCAGACCAAATAAAGGAATTCATGCGTGCAGTCGCCTCATAATTTGCAGTCTTTCAGCTGTTACGAGGTGTGATAAGACTGCTTTGACAAAGCAGGAGCAATAACATATTCAGTAACACCTCCATTTTACGTTACCAAATTCATGATTTCAAGGCTGGTGTTAGGGTGTGCTAAACTTAACACCGGTGTTAAGTTTAGCAATCTACACTGTGTCTGTCATCAAGGCCTCTCGAAATCAGGGGGCCAAATGGCCAGTGATCTTATCGCTCCTTTGATATCACCTTCAAATATAACATAGGTACAGAGGACGTGAAGTAGAAAAAACTGAAAAATTAAAAGCGCGTAAGTAATTCCTCATGCAAACTTTCATATAGAGTAAATACTCAGAACGCTCTAAAAATCGACGAGAGAGACTCTTCTTGCAACAGTATCCTAACATAACGAGAACAATAACTTAAATTCCAAATACTTTTTTCCTATGCATTCAATATTACTTCTCAATTTTTATTATTGTATTGTTAATACAGCTTTTCGTAAATTTATAATAAATGAGGTTTTTTAGTTCAGATGTGCAATTGCACAGAACGTAATCTAACGCAGATCTTCAGCTACCAGTGACTACACGAAGTTGCAGTCATTTTCACAAGCATTTTAAAAAACGCAAGGCCTCAATAATAATATGTTAAATTTATTAAGGATTAGTACATTAATTTTAATTTCATCATGCAGTTTGAATTAATACACAACAATTTCTTTCGGTCAGGAAAAAAAATTGTGCAACAAAAATTTTCTACAAACCTTTGAATAATGACATTCAGCAAGAATAATCATAACTGAAGATGTATACTGTTACGGATGTATTGCACAAATGTATGCTGTTACGATATCAGTGACAAACATACTGACAACAATTTCAAATTTACCTACAAAATAACCATTAAGTTCAAAAATGTAAATACAATCCAGTTTGTACCTAAAAAAATCAGATAGCAAAAGTGAAGTGTCACTATTACCCTTATTCACTAACTTATTAATAAGATGCAAATAAAACAAAAAAACTTTAAGTAAATAATAAATTTTTTAGGCTCTCTAAGTAACAAAAAATGTCCAGAAACGAAATTCAATAACCAGAACCAAGACGTAAGTATATAGATCGGAAAAGGTAAGCTAATTGGGTACTAAAATATCAGTAGCTTAACAATATAAATTTTATAAATGACGAAAATAGTTTAATTGAGATGAAACTGGTTCTCTATTTATTAGTATATAGTTGTTTTGAATTTTGTGTAAGGAATTTTCTCCCTCCTTACAGCATGCTCTCCTGATGTAACGGTGGCACATTTTTGCGTATTCAAGAGGTCCAGGTTGGAGTCCTAAAGAGGGCATTGCTAATTTTTCATATCTCCTACTTCAAAATAACCTAATAACTGTGGTGGCGCCCAAACTAAAAGGTGGTTGAGAATAATTCGTAGCCAGCAGATTTGGCGACTGGGTCCCGTAATCCCTAGTCGCCCTTTAAAATCCCTATCACGAAAGCATTATCTTCCGGCACGCTTTCGGGATGTAACTGTGGCAAATTCGGCGCGTATTCCAGAGGTCCAGTTTCAAGTTATGGTGAGAGAGTTGCCCATTTTTCATGTCTCCTGCTTCAAAATAACCTAATGACTCTACTCCCGATATTTTGAATTTAATAAGCGTCTGATTTATTAACCAGGGAGTTTAATAAGCGACGCGTATTGGACATGATTTTACACAGCCTAATATTACACAGCCATTTGTCTTTTGACTTAACAGTGGAGCTTTTGAGCTACTTTACATATAAATGTGTGTGTTAAGACAAGTATATATAGTACACATGTCTCTTAATTATTGATTCATAAATAAAAGTATCTGAAAAGAAAAACCATTTACCTGTGGACCAGCTCTATCAACTATTCTTTTAAATGGGTAGGCATCCCCTGCAAAAAATGATGAAATATTCATTTAACTTATAACATAAATTATAAGTTTAACTAATATTATGCAAAAATTAATTTTTAAAAAATGACACATTCTCTAAAAACCCTACTTTTCAGCAATCTTTCTCTTTTCACTCAAACGTACCCCCATGGAATATATATAAGCATGCCTTCTTTTTAAACACGAGTAAAAACATATTTTGTATATAAACTGTTGCAAAGTTTTAAACTCTTTTTGCTACGGTAATATTAATTAATTAATTATAATACCAAATGGCAGAAAAGAAATATTTGTCGTTTTGAAACTCCTGGCTGTTATTTTGTTAGCTTTCTTTTCCGAAATGCGTTTTTTCTAAAAGTAAGAATTAAAAATAACTATTTTATAAAATAGTAATCTGGCAAATGTAGAATGCTTTCGGTACATGAATATAACTTTTCCCAAAAAACTGCCATTCAAGCCACCAAAAGCTTAAATTAACCAAAGTATTAGAAAATAGCCTATTAATGCTTCCAGTAAATAAATTATAGGAAATAAAGTTACAGGTCTTAGCATGAAGCTCAAATACATAAATAACTGTGGTGGGATACCAAACATTCTAGAACCAAAGACTATCAACTTGTTATCGTTTCAAAAAGCCGGACGCTTGCAACTTGACGCATTCGTCGAAGATGACTAGGATGACTAGTACCCATCCGTCATTTACCCATCTCATCGCCGAGAAAATTGTCCAAGGGGCACCACAAGAACGCCACCATAAGAGATCGTCCCTTGTGGTGGACTACACCCATCAGCGCTTGTACAGAAAACTTGGGTCGCCTACACGTGTGAGGGAGCGTTCCGCGGCAATTTTGATGGAGAGTGGTTCAGGTAACGCTTTTCGCATCTTTTCCCACCACCAAACTACTCGAGAAACTACAAACTACTTTCGCCTCACCAGTATTTTAAGTTCCTTCATTTCGCTCAAACTCAGATTCACTTACAAATACTTCGCTCAGATTTCACTTACAAATATCCAAGCTTTCTTCGGAATTCGAACCTGCGCCTAATATAGTAGTTGAGAGTTGACAGGAGACGGAGACACCTATTAAGAGGTTAGGTAGTATAGTCTAGCTCCTCGAATATCTAGCATTAGAAGATTCATCAAATAATAGTATAAGATAATGTTGCCATTGTGGCTCAGGATATAAATGCCTAACTTACATAATTATTACATAATTTCAGATACTCAAGATACTTTGCAGCGTAACATACACTATACAGCACTACATTTTACAAATACACTTCATAAAAACAAATCTTTGCAAACTTTACAGAATTTTATGAATCTACTTTCCGGGACATCCAGTGAACAGTAGGTCTAATACAGCATCCAATGGCGCTAACTACTGTACCAATAACAGCGGCGACAAAATGATAGAGAAATGTCGGTCGTTAAAATATGTTAGAACGGTTGATACTATGTCTTGCTTCTAGAGTTATGTTCCTGGTAACTCAGCGAATCAGAAGGAAGACAGAGAATGGCCGTAACTCTCTTTTAAGAATGTGAGTGGCAACGGATTTCTACTGTGATGCCCGTTCACAAGAACAGTGCCTTTAATAGGTAAATGAAATTCTATGAAACGCTGCGGCTTAGTCGGAGTTGAGGCAGTTTGTTTGTATTCTGATGGGCGGCTTCTAATTGCTCGATTGAAACGAATCTTATTTTTCCTTCATTTATCCTAAGAAAATTTTCGTTTAAATTATTATTTTAGTCAGACAAAACTTAAATTATATGTTGATTTTACACCACAAAAATTAAACAACTTTTTTACGACATCTTTCCCATTCACTTTATAAATATACCAGTAAACGTATTAAAAGAACGCATTTGGTAAGTTATAACAGCGGAATCATAGTTCATAAGCGTAGACCTTTCGACTAGTCTTTTAAAACGTGTGTGATTTCACTTTCCAGATTATGTCCATATAAATCTAAGAATTCAGAAAAACTTGCAACCTTATTAACTTTTAACACAGAACTACATTAATGAATGAATGTCTTCAATCAAAAATCAGTAAATCTTAAGTTCAGCATAATGCATGCCAAGGCGCAATTCAGTGAACTATATTTATGTGCATAAATTTATCTCCTAAAGCTGCTTGCAATAAATACACAAAAAATCTGGGATGTGAAGAAAGGTACGGATTTATCCTAAAGGATGTCTCTTTTTTCATGACTGTATGTATCATGTTTACGTGCGAATTCGGTGTTTCTCAAAAATCAAACCACAAATTATATCTTGAATGACTGATTAAGGATTCTTTTAAGAGCTGAATCTAATCATGTAGGCTTTTCAAATTATGAATAATTTGGATTACATGACGCATTTTAATAAATATCAGTTTATGAGAATTTTGGTTACGTAACGCATTTTAACAAATATTAATTTATGAGCAATTCTGGTTACGTGGCACTTGCATAAGAAACTTAAAATTTTACATGAGTGCCGTGAAAATAGCTGAGTTGAGAATAATGTTTTATTCCCCTAGCCGAGTTTGCTAACAAAACATTATGGCTTCATATGAATCTAATTACTGAAATATTGTTAATCAAAATAGTGATAGATTATATATTAACACTAACTTAAATATGCATTCAATGCTTTGAATGAAAATTTCTGAATATCTGTTGCATCATCAGGAAAGCGTAACTATTTAAGTAAGTATTTTAAATTCCTTGTTGCACTAAAGGAAGCGTTTTAAATTATATAATTTTAACAGTATTGTTTTCAGCACTTTCCTTGCGCATTACAGATTACTTTCCTATAATGTCTTCAGACAATTTTTTTGTGAAAAGTTTAGATTTCTTCAAGATCCTTTAAATTTCCTTCATTGCAATTATTGTTAAATTTCATTTATTCTTACTATTATTAAATAATAATAGTATGTATGTTTCTCGCATTGTAAAAAAACAGGGTCATTTAAAAGAACGGATAAATTTTGAGCACGGTTAATCTTTCACCAGAACACGAGCAGCTCGAAGCCAAATTTTTAATTCGAAATTTGCTTCTTGTTTATTTTATGTTTTGTACGACATAATGAAATTTCGATTAAAAAAAATCAGCCTTTAAAAGAAATATGTTGCCACTCGGTAAAGGGTAAGTAATTTTAATAAATAAACTCAACAATTTAAAAGAAATGTGCTGCCACTGCCCAAAGTAAAATATTTTTGTGCTGCCACTACCTGAAGTAAAGTATTTTTGTGCTGCCTCTGCTCGAAATCCGTAATGAACAGCAAGAATTTTGATCGTAGAATGCTGAAATGCCGATCCACAATGAATAGTGGTGGCAGCCGAGGCAGATAAAGTCTTTATTTTATCTCAGTAAACATTTTGCAGCCACAAACAACTTGGCCCATTACTTGTGCCTATTTCAAGAGGTTTACACTTTTTATAACTTTGAAGTAAGAAGGAAGCAGCAGACTAAAGCCCAGCTAATAAGTATAGCGACTCCCCAACTGCGTTATATTCAGTATGAAATCTTACTTCAGAATTAGTTTTGGTTCTAGATATATATTTTAATTGTGTAATTAATACTGTAAAATTATTATTAGCTGTTCGAGTTTTAGTTTCATTTACATCATCAGAATTATGTAACAGTCATATGACACGGATAAGTCTTGAAATGAAGCAGTGCAAATAGAGGTTACTATTTCTAGAATACGGAGAAGAAATTAAGTTACGTTGCTAATTTACATTATAATTTATCTTTCATATATTTGCTTTTTATTTTCTTACATATATACACTAAGATATTTAACATTTTTTTCAGATTCAACCTGTATGTTATTGACTAATGAACTAAGCGATTTAAAAGTAATAAACGTAGTTCACCTCTATTATTATAATTACCAGCTGAAGCAGTGAAATGATCTTAGCTGGATCCTAGCTTAGAAAAACTATTTTAAATGGCTGTCAGTACAAAGGGCTAGATTTTATTAAAAGGTGTCATGTGATCAAAATTTTTAATACATTAACTGTCCGATTTATTTATTTTACGAATTCCTTAAAAAAGCCTTAATTTTGCTTGACCAATATTGCAGAAAAAACAATTTTACATTCAGTTTCTAGTTATATTTGATAGTTAAAATTATTCCATTCTTTTTAGTGTTTTTAATTTCATATGCTAAATAGCGACATAGTTACAAACAAGGAAGATAAAATGAACGCAAGTTACAATTAAGCTAAAAGGAGTTTCTCATTAAGTATATTGTTTACCTGCTTCTCAGAAATATTTAATTATCTAAACTCGTCTATCTTTTTCCCCATCTCACCTGAGCCTCCCCTTCCATAAAAGCTTTGTTTGCTGTAGTCACGCTCTTCACTCCATAGTAATAACAGCAATAATGTTAAAATGAATTGCGTCTTTACGAGAAAACCAAAACACTGAAGGTGGTGTATAAAATACAAGAGTTACTTCAAACGGGCAGAGGAATTAGAATTATAATGCAAGAATTTGCAATTTACAAACTTAGCTGATAACTAAAATTATTAAGTACTATGACTTTATGTGGTAAAATCAAACAGTTTTTCAAAAACTTATACACCTGATGAATATCTCAAGTGTCTGCTGCAGATCTAAATAAAAAGATATATAAAACTATAAATCTCTTAAAAATGATTTTACAAAATAAAAAGATATTTATTACTATACTGCAAGACCGAGAATTTTCTACATAGAGAACTATTGAAAAGAGACCAAAATGTGTGCATATATTAATAATCAAGGGTACTTTTCCGTTTGGCCGGCGAAAGCGATAAAGTCGCCGAAAATGGTAGAACTGATGCCAAACCAAATATCCTCGCTGATAACCTTTCACACCACTTTTTCAAAACAAGTCGCTGCTATTTCTTATCAGATTGATGGTTTCTTTCAATATTGGCATACAGTTAAATAGAATTTTTTAAATTATAATATTGAAGTAGTTCTTGCATTTAAACTCTAATTCCATACTAAGATTTAACTTGAAATTAATGTAGATAATGAAATACTGAAAGAATTTTGTTACGTAGTTTATGTGAAATGAGATCATTTGGGATCACGTGATATTAACCGGCGAATCAAAATGTTGTACCATGAAAACATAGTAAATTTTAATTTAAGTCTTTAAATTCTTAAATTAACGTCCTTTACAAATATGTCAAAATGGATGAAAAACCAATGAAAATTTGGGATTTGCCCAGGACAGAGGAAGAATCCATCAGATTCTTTCAAGCGAAAGGCGTTTTGCCTAACATTGCTATTTGTGAAAATAGTCATGAATGAAATTATATTCGGAGACGAAATTCAATGGCGTTGCACCTTTCAACTTACCGCGGTAAAAGAAGTATACGAAAGGCACATGGTTTGAATCATCGAGATTGAGTTTCTTGAAGTGTTTAAGATTATTTATGGTTGAGTGAAGAATTAACTTCAGTTAAATGGTGTTGAAAAGCAGTTGGAAATCAGTCACGGAACAGTTGTGGATTGGAATAACTACATGCGAGAGGTTTGTGTGGATTCTTTACTTAAACGTCAACACGCAAATAAGAGGACCTGTATGAGCGTTGAAGTGGATGAAAGTAGTTTCACGAAACGCAAAAAAACAACTCGGACGGATTTTACCACACAGTAGATCTTTGGGGAGTATGTCGTGAACAAACGAATGTTTCCTTGTGATGGCCAAACCGATCCATGAGTATTCTATTAGAGGCATAAATGAAAAACATCGAAAAAGGACTACAATATATTCCGATTCGGGAAATCATATTGCACGAAAAACTGGAAGAGGAAAGTTCGAACATTTCAAGTGAACCATAAATACAATTTTGTAGATCCGGAAACTGGAACGCACACGCAAAAAATTGAAAGACTATGGGGAAGCGCAAAATGGCGGAATAAGAAACACAGAGGAACTGCTCGGCATCATCTGGAAAGTTACCTCGCTGCCTCCAAAATAAAAAAAAAAATTTTAAAATTCTTAGAATTAACATTTGTTAACATTTTTTTATGTGTATACTGTGTGTTGTCGCCAATAAAGTCTGCTTGGCGAGATTTGCGCAGGAGAAAGGGAAATGGCGAGGCTTGCGCCGGCGAAACGGAAAAGTACCTAATCAAGCATTTAACAAATGTATATTTTCAAAGCTATACTACGGCAATAAATTTATACATACAGGTTATCAATTAGATCTTTCCGCCACCTTTGAGCAATGCCTTCTTGAACACTTCTTTATATCGAACCGATGAATGTCTGAATTGTGCCCTATGGGTATCGAGCACTGTACCTTCTTGATATGACTCCATAGTTCATCTTACGGAAGGTATTGAACCGCCGCCCAATCATATCTCACAAATATTGGATTGATAATAAAGCGTTGGATTAATATATTGACGTGAACACTTGTAGCCTTTGCAAAGCATTCATGCTGAGTCAAGCAAATTGTGACGGTGTTTTTTTTTTTTTTTTTTTTTTTTTTTTTTTTTTTTTTAAATTTTTTATTTTCTTTTCTTTTCGTTGTTGTTGTTGTTTAAGAATTACGTTTAGATTGCTCTGGAGCTAGGAAGAAAATGAAAGTGCAGAACATCATCAAAATAGCTGCATCCCATTAACGTGCCTGCAATATGCTCTAGATAAGAACTAGTAAAGCCATTGTCACATCAAACTCTTATCCGACTCTGATGAACCGCGTGTCAATCCAGAAAATACTAAAAACTTCCTCTCAGGTGGTGACTTCACATCCTCACACAACTATCACCAACTGTGAGGCAAAAGAGCGATTCATCGCTGATGACAATATTGTTCCAGCCGGCTTTCCGTTCAGTTCAGTCACGACATTTCTGCAAATTTTCATGGCAGTGACTCGCTGTTCATGGAAGCTTTCGTAAAGAATGTCCAAAACCAAACCTGCATCAGCTAATCATCTGCATCGACACTAGAGCAAAGGAAACATCTGCAAACTTCGCAAAATTAATCCCTGTGTGGACTAGAAATCAAATTCGACGTGAAATCAAATGTGGTGATTAATCCATTATAACATCCATAGTTTTTCTCCGAATTCCATACGACGGTACACATTTCCTTCATAGGCCTATCGTCGCCAAACCTGGTCCACAGTTGGGGCTTTAACTTGCATTTCCTCAACGTACGAGGCATGGATCTAATAGCATATGGAAATCTAACATGAAGCACATCATTAATTCATTCTATTGATGGCATTGAGCAAAGTTACTATACTACATGATTTGCTCTTACGTGAAGTCACTCACTCATAATTTGCTCAACTGCAACTATTCCCTACTCCATTTGTACCATTGTCTCTCCCCCTTCTATACATTACCTGTTTACTAACCTTAAAACTGAATACAATGCCGTCTTTAAGACATTACTTTATGTCCTTTGATCTTTAGACTTGAATGCAGCCAACGAAGTGGCTTAATATAGTCGTGAAGGCAGCGATATTGAGGGCTTCGTGCATTGCTTCGATGCTTAAAGCCCTCGTGCTAATCTTCTGATTGGTTTACAAATCGGACCATTTATATGATTTTATTATTTGCATGACGATGCATTTGTTTCTTCATGGTATGGTGTTTTCTGCGTCAGGCAATGCATTAATACCTTACAATATTAGAATTAAATATCAGCTAATTATAGATCAATGAAACTGTGGATTTCGCGATATTAGGAATAGCATATTTTAGGCTATTACTTCACCTGAAATTGGTTAACTAATATTTTTGTTAAAAAATATTGCTACTAATATACTTAATATCTGAGAAACACACCATCAGACTTTAACATTCCAGCGCATTCTATATATTAATATTTTGTCTTTTTTGTTTTAAAAACTAACTTATTTTGGAGCAAGGAGGGGAGAGTTTATTTGAAGCATTTTAAATCTACTTTTGCGTGCTTCGAATTTTAAAAATCATTGTTTATTTAAACCATCATTTAAAAATTATTTCCAAATTTCTTTTAAATTTGCTTGAAACGTGCTTTTTAGGCAAAAGAACTTTGGTTTCTGTGTACAAATAAATCAATTCTCATTTTAAAAATAACATCTAAAGGAGGGATTTTAAATAAAATTAGTATTATAAAAATGAATTCTAATGAAGCTTTAGATATTACGATTCTTTTACGGAAAAATATTAATTTATGAAAAACGTCCTTTAATTTACAGTTTTCATTACTGTTTCGTAGCTATCTAAAATTGTTATAAATTTTGAACCTAAAGAAGAACGCGCATCAAATTGTGGTCACAACAAAAGCACTGAGGTAAAATTAATAAATGATATAATGGAACTCATACATTTGTATTTCAGTGAAATTCTTATTCTGTGATGTTTGTTGACATTTAAAATAACGCAATGTTTATTAGATGTCGAACAAATCTGGACTAATGAAAATCTCGTATAATTTATCACTTACTAAAACATCTAGTTAAAACCTCATGAGTACTTAGTCGGCTAGTGCATGTTTTATAAGGCATTTGACCTATTATTGTAGTAAAACCAGCTAAATGAATGAAATTATTGCTAAAGAAATACTTGAAAAACGCATTTACAACGCTTTTTTACATGAATTGATACATTAGACTATTATCTTTGTTTACAAGATGAACCATCTTTTGGTTAGTAAGCACGTAATTGTTATCTTTCTAAATACCTTACTTATAGTACTGTGGGTGCTTACGGCTTTTATATGATCCAAAACACTGTTGTGTTTGTTAAATTTCTAAGGTAAACTGGTTTTTTGCAAGTTTTAAAACTTCCAGAAATTCTCAAAATCTTTTCCAATGCACTTACAAAAACTTTAATCTGCATGTATATTTGTTGGTTTTTGAGATTATTACAAACATGTTCGTAGGTAAGGATGCTTTCCTATAGATCTTTGTAATGTAAACCGATGCATTTGCACTAAATTGGGAAAAATTGCGAAATTATGCATCTTATAGCAAGCCTTTTCAGCAACAGCAAATAGAACGCGGGAGTGAACTGCTTCACGACTTCATCTACCTTAAACATGATTCGTCTGTCAGTACGTAATTAGAAATACGCACTTCGTAAGAGGGCTGTTGATTAGAGGTAAAGACAAGAAAGTAGAATAAAGTAAACAGGTGTCAATATATCACTTACATTCACCACAAAGAATTGCAAAGAAGCAATTGTACATTTCTTCTTCTTTAACTTCATTAGGATCAAATTCTCCATTGGCAAAGGCAAAAAGACCCAAAATTAATGTAACGGTGGCTAATCCTACCATTTTTATTAAGATGAGAGAAGATTTTAATGTGCATCCTTAATTTATAGTTGAATATAAATGAAAAGATGATTACTCAATATAACGAATATTTTTTCCTTGAAATTAATGTCACGCAATGAAGTCTGAACACGTTATGTTTGAAAACACCCAGCTTGCTGGACAAGTGGATTAAGTCAGGACGAAGAAATATCTAGATGTATAATAGAAATTGTAATTTAGGGAAGAAAGTAGCTATTGCAGTGTGACGTTAATAAATATACGATTTAAGAAAATTGAAAGGGTTCAGATTTTAACGATCGCCCAAAAGGGCTGTTTTAAAATTTAACGTAGTAGTTCACCAATTAAGATAATCCATGGGGGCAAGATATTTTATAGCATATTACCATGAATATGCATTTAGATTAACACGAGAACGTCCAATATCTTCTGTATATGTGAAATGTGGAAAGATATGTAATGTAATTATATAAAAATGTTGAATGGTTTTAAGTAGATATATCAGGAATTAAATGCATTTCAATTTAAATCATTCAGATTTTAAAGTGAAAAAAAATACTTTTAAGAACTGTATTTCTTGCTTTAAATAATTTCCTTAGTTTTTTACTAACAAACATATTAATTATGATAGAACGTCTTATGTTTTTCCAAATCTGACGTTTTACCAAATGGCAACAGACACGAAAGACAAGCGAAATAACGCAGAATCGTGTTTCGAGGCTAAAAGCCCATATAGGCTAATAAGATACTTCTTAAATCTTATTCTAATGCACTCGTTTACTAGTAGCTGAATAATTAAGAGTGTTAGAATCTGGGAACTAAAGCTGGTAGTTAGGCAACTGTAACCAACTAATAATCAAAGTCCAGTCTTGGAAATTTTAATCTTCTAAATGCGGTCTTATTTTTTTTCTTTCTTTCAATCTGATTTTTTAATTGGTAGAAAACTGTAATTATTAAAGATGCAGAAATATTTATACTCATTTTGTTCCAATTTTTATGTAATTCTGGAATTGTTTGGTAATTATCTCAGTTCTGAAGTACTCTAAGGGGAAGATTAAGGAAGTTTGAAAATCCTTGCATGCAAAGGATAAAGTAATTTATATGCGTACTGTAAACAGACTTAATATATTTAGTGCAGGGGTCGGCAACCTTTTCAGTCGGAAGAGTCAAAAATTACAATTTACAAAATTGCAAAGTTTTTAAAGAGCCACAAAATATTTTCTTGCCAACAATAAATAGTATCCGCATAAATAAAGTTTTTTAATTTAAAAAAATTAATCTACTTATTTATAAGGAAAAGTATGTATTTATTCATAAGAAAAAATATAAATTTCTTCATATATAAATAGTGCTTTTCACAACAAATTAGGTAATATATATATGGCATTGTTAGATAATTATTATTTAAGTAAAAAATTAAAACAATTAAACATTTACTTCACTAACTTGTACTTCAATAACAAACAATTTAGCAAACAAATTCAATGGGAACGATGGCTTTGCATGGTTATTCAAGTAGAAAATTTAAACTTTACTAAACAATGTAACTTGTACTTAAAATTAGAAAAACATAATAACACATCTGAGCAAACATATTCAATGAGAGCGTTGGCTTTGAATGGTTTTAGAAAGTTTGGATAAATTTGGCTCATAACTTGTTGTTTTTATTTTCAAACACGACGCTAAATTTTTATTTGTGAGTTGGCTACTTACTTTACTTTTACTTATATTCATGCAAGAGAACGCTTGCTCGCACGAATATGTCGATCCAAAGCACTCCAAATGCCAACTTCTTCACCTCACTGTAGCAATCTGGAAGTACATGAGTCGAATATAAGTGCCTCAACTCGCGGCATTTCTTTTAAAGCTGTCCACTTTTGTTGCGTCACGTACATACATTTCTGGACCTCCAACTCTTCCAACTTGCTTTTAAACTCTGTAAATTTTCTACTCCACAAAACTTTACTTTTTAAATCGATCAGTTGTATTTCTAGAGATCCAGCGTCAATTCCAAATGGCTCAATGTGAATTTCATTACTGTTTGTGGTGAGAGGATTTACTATGAATGCTAGAGTGGTTTCCTTGGTTTTGAATTGCTCAACATCTGTCAGCAAATTCACCTTTAATTTTTTTATAACTGTGCTGAAGTAATTTGTGTCAACAGTTGCACTGGTTTTATCGCGATATTGCTTTAGAAATTGAAAATGAAGTAATTTGCCGCTCTGAATATCTTCTGCAAAAATAATTAATTTTTCTTCAAAACAAACCAATTTTTCTACCAAAACATAGGCTGGGTTTTCCCTTTCCTTGCAGTTTTAGATTCAGCTCATTTAATTTCGTTGTGATATCCACCATAAAGTAAAATTTTTGCAACCATTTGTCGTTCTCTAATTCAGGGTGATCAATGCCTTTTTCATTTAGGAATGTATTTATTTCATTCAAGCACAAAGCAAAACGTTTCAACACCTTACTTTTGGAAAGCCATCGCACTTTATTGTGAAGAAGGAGGTCGGAATATTCAGTCTCCATTTCGTTTAAGAATTCTTTAAACTCACGATGGTAGAGTGCTTTTGACAAGATGCTGTTAACAATCTTGATTACCAAATTTATGATATGAACTACACTGCTGGCCACCCAAATTGCAACACCAAGAAAGACAAGAGATATCACAACAAAATTTATTTAGTATATAACATGTTGACCAAGTATCAAATGACTGAATTTATAGACTTCTGTGAAGTGTGGTTCCTTCCAGAATCAGTAGCCAGAGTAGCCGCCATTGTTGGAGATCACCTCTGCCACACGCCTCGGCATTAATTCAAATATGTGTTCTTGGGGTACAGCAGACCAAGCAGCGTCCTTTCGTTGCCAAAGTTGATCTGGCGTGGCAGCTTGGAATGTAATCTGGGTCAATCGTTCAGCAACTATGGACCACATACCACATGTTTTCTATCGGCGAAAGATCCGGAGAGCGAGCCGGCCAGGAAAGCAATTCAATCTGACGATTGACGAAGAACCCTTGGACAATGCGTGCCACTTGTGGTCGCGCATTATCCTGTTGAAATATGGCCGTGGGCAAGCCATAAAGGTAAGGAAGGACAACTGGCTCCAACACCTTGGAGATGTAGCGCTGGCTGTTTTAAGTACCGGCAATGCGTATTAGAGGAGTGCGACAGTGATATCCAATACCGCCCATACCATAATACCCGGTGCAGGAGCAGTGTGGTGACACCATGGAGAGAGGATGCATAACGCGGCTATTCAGCATCCTCTCTCCATGGTGTCTCCAGACTCGAATCCGACCATCGTGGTGTTGCAGAGAGAAGCGTGTCTCGTCAGTAAAGACAATTTCATTCCCATCTACCGTCCACATCCTTCTTTCATCGCACCGTTGGCGGAGGAGACGTCTGTGGTTCTGCGTCAAGGGTAGACGAAGCAATGGACGTCTTGCGGACAGGCCACTCTGCTGTAAACGGCGTCGAATGGTACGCGCAGACACTGGATCATGCGTTATACACTGAATGTGCTGTACTATGGTTCGTGATGGTGCACTGAGGTGGATGCGATCGAACACGTCGGTCCGTCGTACCCTCCTGCATCCAACGGTCACATATCCGCATTATAGTTTTTTAGTTTCGTCCAACACAACTACCGATTTCCCTGAAAGATAATCCACACTCTCGGTAGGCCACTATCCTTCCTCTGTCGAACTCGGATACTTGATCAAACGATGATCGCTGTTTACTACGAGGCATAATTGATCGGGTTTTTTTTTTTTTTAAACCACAAGAAAAACACAATTGCCGAACTTGAAATCGTCGAAAACTCCAAGCCTTAAATAGCGCTTTGAAGTGGCGCCACAGGCGCGCGTGATGTGCGTCTGCGCTGAAATTCTAATCATTTGCATATCTCACCTCCGCTAATGCATGTTGTAAATTTCATGTTATTTGCATGCTTACTTCAGGGTGTTCATTTACGGTGGCCAGCAGTGTATTTCGGCCGGAAATGTTTGGGCACAGAGCGCTTCTTGGTGTATTATGCAGTGAAACATAAGAATTTCGTGGTTGATTTTTCTCTGAAGAATCGTTGTTGCCCCTTTATTTTTTGCCTGTCATACTTCTGGCTCCATCAGCTGCTATTGAAACGATTTTATTTAAATCGATCTTATTGTCTTCAAGGCATTTTTGCATAGCATTCGCTATATCTTCCCCTCTAGTTTGTCCCGAGAGCGGTAGCAATCCTAGAAGTTCTTCTTTTGGACCTTGAAAAGACATATATCTGACAAAAAGAGCAATTTGTGCCGTGTCTTTTATGTCGCAAGACTCATCTATAACAAGTGATAAGGCAGAAGAAAGTTGACTATCTTCCACCTGCAAATATGTTACATTTGAAGACATTTTAGCTATTCTATCTTGTACTGTTTTAGCGGATAGTGGCAAAGCTTTGATTTTTTTCAAGATTTCTGGTTTGTTTTTGAAATCACGAAACAGTTCTTCAGATGCCCGTATGAAGCAATCTTTGACATACTCACCATCTTTGAATGGTTTGCCTGTTTTTGCAATTTCTAGTGATACCGCGAAGTTTGCCAGATTAACATCACTTGTAGATTGCGTCCAGTTACTTAACATGGAACTTGATTGCAGCTTTTGCTTTTGGAGCCCGTCGACAGCTTTTTTTCGTTCTTCGCCGGCTGGATATTTACTAGCAAACCGAGTATGTTTTTCAGTGAAGTGTCTCTCTAAATTTGATTTCTTATTGTGTGCGAGTTTTTCGTGGCAAATGAGACAAGTCGGAAGGCCATCTGAGTTGCATATGAAAGCGAACGATTCCGTCCAATCCCGATTGAATTCTCGATACCCTTCTTCAGTTCTTCTCTTTTTTTTTTCTAGATGCCATGCTTGCGGTGAAGCTGTAATAAAGATAATTCGCTTCTAAATCTTTTAATTGAAACAACAAACTATACGTCACCGCCAAGCACTGGTAAAGACGCCAAATTGTCTTGCATCGAAAGCGAATTAAAACCTACATAGAAACATCCGACGACGGCGTCATTCGAGAGCTTCCTACGGACTGACGACAGTGGCGACGCATGTCACGGAGGAGGGGTGCGGTGAAGGCTAACTACAGTAGCGAGAGTAGTTGGGTGAGAGCCAAGATGGGTCAGTTTAACTGAAGTGGTGTGAGTGAAAAGCTTGGGTATTTTTCCCTTTCGGGAGGTTGAAGCGCGGATATTTTTTCCTCTCGGAGGTTGTTTAATGTTTTTTCTTACATTACTGCACTCACCCCTACATCACCGACAGATATGCCCACTTCCGCCCGAAACCGGATGTTTACATAAATCTGAAATACGTGGTCGGACAGTACAAGTGGCTGAGAGATAGAATCAGTGCCTAATAATTCTTAATCGATTCAGAACGATTTTAAAATTTTTTTGGATAAAATAAATACTATTTGCGTATAAAACTAAAGAGCCGCAGCTTCACATCTAAAGAGCCGCATGTGGCTCGCGAGCCGCAGTTGCCGACCCCTGATTAGGGCGTTTAAAATATTAAACAGTTTTAATGCTTTTTTTCTCATGTGGAAGGCACCTACAGAAGATTGTTCTGCAAGTGAAAAAAAAAAAACTGGGGGTTGGGGGTGGGGAGAAGAAACCATTCTAAGAAATCTGTAACAAAAGGCATCATCTTAAGTATAAGCTTCAAAAACTGGATAAGCGTGATCTTAATAATCTCAGTAAGAAAATAAATAAAAAGAATACAATTAAGATACAATAACACGCCGAACAAATACTAATTCAGAGGTCAAACAAGAAAAATCAGCGTTATATTTATAAATTTTCACAGGACTAGTTTCGATGGTTTTACCGAACCACCATCGTCAGCTGCAAAAGCGCAAATGAACGAAATAGGATATAATGATCAGATAAGATAAGAAAGCCTGGACAGAAAATAAGCTAGTGCCGCCATCTGTTGATGAAACCAGAACTAAAACATAATTTCTTTAAAGACCGAAGGCAAAGATGGATTGGGATTAGGAAGATTTTTTTGAATGTGAAAAGCCTCTAGAAAATCCAGTTCTCCAATGGAAGATGTTTTTTGAATAATTTTGGCAGCAGAAAAATTGAAAGCGTGATTTTCGGACCAACAATGTTGGGCAACACAAGACTTCTGTGTTTTCTTTTTTCTAACGTATGCCTCATGTTCCTTGACGCGAAATTTTAAAGCTCTCTCGGTTTGTCCAATGTAAATTAAATCACACTGGCAAGAAAGCCTATAAATACCCCAGGAATTCATATCCGGAATGGGGTCCTTGTGTATGGAACTCGGAATTTTATTGATGGGAGAATAAACGACCCGAAAGTTAACTTTCTGCAAAATATGTGCAACTTTATAGCTAATTGATGGAAAGAAGGGAATGACAACAGAATTTTTATAATCTTCTAAAACAAGAGTGTGCCTTTTAGTGTGTTTAGTGTAAACTCTTAAACGAAGGACTATATAATCCGATCTCTAAAGATCCTTCACCTTTCGACCTGTCAAAAATAAAAACTGCGATCAAATCTTCACAAATCATTTCATGCAACTTAAAGCATTCGCTTAAAACATTCGCTTATCTGTTGCGAATTGTGCCAGATTATATGCTCTTCCCAAAATTCATAAAAGCTCTATTATATCAAATTTAGGTACTGCCTCGTATCCATTAGCTAAATAGTTAGTTTCTAGATTTTCAACTCTATTAGACAATAAAATTTACACCATAAAAAATAAATAGAGTTTTGTAAATAAGGTTAAAAACATTTCTCCTATAAATTTACTCATGGACTCTTTTGATGTTTTCTTTTGATGAAATCATTTTTCACTAATGTCCCAGTGGAATGTGCATCAAGATATCTAGAAACCAGACTTCGCGAATTTCATTTCTCTTGCATCGAAATTGATGTCTCTCACTCAACTCTGTTTGAAACAAACACATTTTATTTTCCAAAATAAATATTACAAGCAAACTGAGGGATTAGCCATGGGAAGCCCCCTCAGTCTTCATCCTGGCTGATATCTACATGCATTATTATGAATCAAAATTGTTTGAAACTTTACACTTTCCAGTATGGTTCCGCTACGTAGACGATACTTTTACCCTGTTTGAAGGTAATAAAGATGATTTAAATAAAGTTCTTTCAACAATGAATTCTATTGATCCTGCTATTCAGTTCACTTTTGAACTTGAGACTTGTAATTCTCTTCCGTATCTCGACATTCTGGTCACACGTAAAGCATCCAACTTCAGTACTACGGTTTACCGTAAACCTTCATCGATTTGCCTTCCACCATACTTTAAATCATGTCATCCGACTAAACAAAAGTTAGCTTCATTTTATTCCTATGTTTTCCGTGCTCGTCAAGTTTGCTCCTCCAAACTAGCCCTTGATCAAGAACTAAATTATTTAAAAGCTATAGCTATTGACAGGGGCTTTTCACCCAACATTATTAATCAAGCAGTTAAAAAATTCTCATCTCAACACACTAAAAGGCACACTCTTATTTTAGGAGATTATAAAAATTCTGTTGTCATTCCCTTCTTTCCATCAATTAGCTATAAAGTTGCACATATTTTGCAGGAATTTAACTTTCGGGTCGTTTATTCTCCCATCAATAAAATTCCGAGTTCCAAACTCAAGGACCCCATTCCGGATATGAATTCCTGGGGTATTTATTGGATTCTTTGCCAGTGTGGTTTAATTTACATTAGACAAACCAAGACAGCCTTAAAATGTCGCATCAAGGAACTTGAGGCATATGTTAGAAAAAAAGAAACACAGAAGTCTTCTGTTGCCCAACATTGTTGGTCCGAAAATCACGCTTTCAATTTTTCTGCTGCCAAAATTATTCAAAAAACATCTTCCATTGGAGAACTGGATTTTCTAGAGGCATTTCACATTCAAAAAAATCTTTTCTGTTCTAGTTAACGATCCTAATTCCAATCCATCTTAGCCTTCGGCCTTTAAAGAAATTATGTTTTTGTTCTGGTTTTATCAACAGATGGCGCCACTAGCTTATGTTCTGTCCAGACTTTCTTATCTTATCTGATCATTATATCCTATTTCGTTCATTTGCGCTTTTGCAGCTGACGATGGTGGTTCGGTAAAACCATCGAATCTAGTCCTGTGAAAATTTGAAAATATAACGCTGATTTTTGTTGCTTGACCTCTGAATTAGAAAGGATACATTTTCCAGATTTACTCTTTAATACTATTTAACTTGCAATTCAAATGCATGTATACTTAAGATAGCGAAAAGGAAGGGAAATATATCTTTTAGGGAAGAAAAAATGATATGGTTTTAAATGCGCTTTAAGAAGGTGGAAAAAATAACAGATAAATATGTATTGTTACGTTATTTTCTTCCCTTTGGTACGTTCGTTACGAAGTTCGAGCAGATTTGGAGTGAATAACGAGAATAGCACTCGATGAAGTATCAAAACATAATTTATTGGCCAGTATTATTTAAGAGAGCTCCAAAATCACGTTTTTACAGTCGTCGAAGAGCTGCTATACACACGCTATAACAATCAGCGACACAGCCTTGAGGCAATCAGGCTATAACAGTGAAGACAGCTTCACTGCAAAGCACCAGAGTACAGCTCCCGACTCTGCTTAGTCGTCCCCGAACTTCACGTACTCTCAAGACTCTCCACGCTACAACTCTCGATGCACTCGACGATACACTAGAGTACAGCTCCCGTCTCCTCAGTTCCGTCGTTCCCGGAGCTTAACACACTCTCTCGACGATGCACTAACCGCGATACACTAAGAGACTTTTTCGGTGCACTCGACGACCAGCTCGGCACTCACTGACTGACTATCAACTCGATGGACTCCACACGGACTGACTAACTCTCCGCCTACAAGCGGCGTTTATATAGCTTTTGGCTTGGTTTCGAGAACATTCTGGGCTAAATCAGTAGGAATTCGTTCCAGAAGATTCTCAATCCGTCTATGGCATATCGCCAATTTTGTCGCCAAATGTTGCCAAATGGACAATTTCTCACCAAATGTGGCAACCGTGTCTTTATTTGCCATTTTATGGCAACCCGACAACTGCTTTGCGGGGAAGCTCGTACCATTTCGTAACAGTATAATTTAATAAGACGCTCAAGGATGTCATATGGTGTCCACGTCAGATTTTTTTTCTGTAGCTTAAATATTTTAATACATCTTTCTTCGAATGCTACTAATTGAATCATTTGGCAAGAAATTATATCTATAAGACACCCGCCTGAAGGATGATTCGAGAGTCCCCTTTGAAGTACCCATACCTTCTCCGGGATTTGGAGTCGGAACCATCGGTATGCAGCCAACGTCGCTAACCGCTAAACCGGCAGCTGTAAAATAATGCATCGTAGCTTAAACTAATCAAATGCTACTCTGTTATTTTACAAGCATGGAACTGAAGTTTATTTTCTAGCTTTTAAAGCTGGTGATCCATAGTATGTACACTTTCCTTATATAAAAAATCTTCCTTATATAAAAAATGTGCATTACCAGACGCAGAATTTTTATGTAAAAAAAAAAACAAGATTCAATACAAAAAGTGAAATCCTTTAGATGACTTAAACCAGTTTTCTTCTTTCA